TCCCATTATTAGTAGTATGAATTAGTAGCACGATTTTACCCAGCGCAGCGGGTACCCGCAGCTAGTATATATATAAAGACCCTAGCCTGCACTGTTGCACAGCGACCTCTCGCGGGCATCGCGGCAACCATCAGACAAGCGGTTTCTAATGCAGTTCTGAGAGCGCTTCTCCCGGAATAGTTTTCCATTATTTCACATGCAGCTGCGAAGCCACGGGCGTCGATCACATAGATCTTCTTAGTAACGCAATATAACCTATTTGGGCGGCTATTCGCTGCGCCTTTCGGTGCAAAAAAACGCGTTACGTACACACATAAATACCGAGTCGTATTTTTTATGATCCCCGCTTGCAATAATTTTCGCTTTCTTCGCGCTGATATTTGGTGAACGCGAGATTGCATAAACCATAAAATATACACTTCCCTTACGCGTCGATACACTCTTCGCCGTAAATATGGGCGAGAAATCGTCTATAGATGGCCATAACTGCTACGTCACACAGTAACACGACATGCACTCACATGCAGGATGATTTCCGCACGAGCGTAATATTTGAACAGAATTTAAAATCTGCATAGCTTTTACGACGCTGTAGAATGCGGTTAGCCACTCGCGTGATTATAAATGAACTCAGGTGGCACGGGCAGACTAAATTGCAACAGCATCTATCTGCTGGCTCTATATTCCAGCCCTGTGTCTAGTCACGACAAAATGCGAGTAACGCAGTTCTGTACGTGAATTATTCTATCGCGCAGTTATATAGACGCCATCAACGTCGAGGCGCCATGTTGCCTAACGGACTCCTGGGAACGCGCGCTGATTCAGTCGCCGAGATAAATGATCATGGATATTAGACACACGCGATTGCAAGGCAAATATTTGGAGTCAATTTGCGAGGTAAAAACTTAATGTCGTACAAAAGCTATAGCTGTTGCCCTGGCGCTTTGGCCATGGATATTAGACACACGCGATTGCAAGGCAAATATTTGGAATCAATCAGCCACCGTTGTGGGTGGTACTTCAGCTGCCGTCGTGGAGCGTGGCTATAGCCAGCCACCGTACGTGGGACGTGCGGTATCCATAGCACACGGTACGTGGGCGTAGCTACAGATCAGCCACGCGTACGTGGCGTGGGCTGCATCAGCACGTACGTGGGGTGGCTCTCGCACCCGTACGTGAGGTAGCTACATTCCCGTACGTGGGCGTGGCGTATCAATCGCCACCGTACGGTAGGGCGTGGCTGCCATCTCACCGGTTCGTGGCGTTGCTATCAACCACGTCGTAGGGTAGTCCCATCAGCACCGTACGTGGGTGTGGTCTATCAGCCACCGTACGTGAGGTAGTACATCAGCACCGTCGTGCGGCGTGCGCTAGCATCAGCACGGACGTGGGTGGTCATCGCCCGTGAACGTGGGCGTAGGTACCTCGCAGTACGTGGGCGTGGCTTCATCGCACGTAGTGGGGTAGTCTACTCCAGCAC